CTCTTTATTCTCTCTTGTTCTCTAAACGTGTCCCTCACTTTCTCCCACCAGTTAAGCACTTGAACTTGTGTGTGACCTTTTCTGTTTTCACACTTTTGTTTTCTAACCCACATTGTCCACGTTAATTAATTTTTAAAGAAGTTTATCTCAGCATGAATTATGTAACACGGGACCATTTGATGAGGACTGTTCCTGTACCGTGTGTGTTGAACAAAGCTCTGTGCCAGTCTTGTTACATGACCACCAGATGGCAGCATTGCAGCAATGTATTGTTGAGTTCACATATAAGTGTGAAACTTGTTGATAACTGTATTCGATAGGAAAACTGATATACGTGGGGTGAATTAAGAACGGGCAGAAAATGTCATTTGTGTGCAGATAAGCATAAACTGTAATATACAATATATAAAGAATGAAGATTCTAATTATAAATCAGTTATTAATTAATAATTACTTAGGTTTAAATGGAGCTGCTCTGGAAACAACAACAGTTTTAAAACTCAGCACAAATAATGACAGGATGAAACTTTTGTCTGCACTTTTCCTACAATTGAGCTGCAATGGAACAATATGGATGTTTCTTCCAAGAAGACTTTAAAGAAATTGTTGGGTTTTAACAAAGCAACAAAATGAGCCTTACACAATTTTACCACGCAGAAAACGTAAAGACGTGCAGCATAAAGCTTAAAGGTTTTCTTCTTAGTGATTTGAAGCAATTGCACTTACCACCACGTACCAGCAGGTGGAAGCCTTGCACAAACAAACAGACAGAATGAGACACACTGAAAGTTTCTATGAGCATTATACTGTATGTTTTCAAATGCTTTCAAAAAGGCAGAATTTAGGTTTTTCTAACAGCACTATGACAAAAGTAAACTTTTATTTTAGCTAAAAAATAGTCCAATATTAGTATGTAGTCCAATTGTTTATGAAATATTTAACTGTTAATATAGTTATTATTCTGTATTTTGGTGACTATATTGTCTCGTATTCTGTATATGACCCATGTATCTGATGATAAACCTATAAAAAAAATGTGAATTGGACATTTTAGAAATTGGAAAGTGTAGAGATCAGTAGATGCTGCTTCAGATCTGTGGTGTTTGTGCTGCTGTTTTAATGACAAATATTCAGTCCAGCTCAGATTTCACTTTCTTTATTTTTCCCCCAAACTCCAGAGCCGTAACAAAAATACAAGCATTTTTCAATATGATCTCAGTCATTTACATATTCATATAGATGTACAAGTGAGAGCCGGTGAGCAAAAGTGCTTTAAAAATCATCTTTGAATAATATTTATTTCATCATTAGGAAAAAAAAAAAGAGAAGAAGTAGAACCAAAAAGCAAGCAAAAATAAAACACAAAGTAAGACTTTAATCTACAGGTTTAAAGGTAAATATGAGGAATAAATCAGTTTCACAAATGAACCTGGCAGCAGAGCAGTGGCCCAACGTTTTCATTAGTGTGGAGAGGAAACCTTGTAACGGCGACCTTTTAACACGTTTTCACACTCCTTGATGTGTCGGGACATTTTTCACGACCCTGAGGCCCAGAGGCAACGTCCGAGTGAGTAACAAATCTCTGCTGTCATGTGTTAAACTAAACTTACTTCATTAATCGTAGGGACGATGAAGGGTTTTAGTTTAAGTGTGTTAGACATCCCACCTAAAGCCTCAACGCCGCTTGTGAAACCTTTAGTTTATTTGTGAAAACAGTTTTTCTAGACCACGTCAGAGCAGGTCCAGATCTAAAACCACCAGCCTGGACTTGTCAAAGGGGGTTTTAAGGTAGACCTGGTCTGTTGTCGACCTGATGGAGGAAGCGGGTTTTAACCAGACACAGGACAAAATCAGGAGCTGAGAATCTGCGTAAATGTGAGAACTGAAAACTGCGGTATTGACGTTTTCGTCTAAATCTATCAGCATTACAACCGGTGGCCAGTTTTAATACAACAGCCCGCAACTAACAATTACTTTCATTATTGATTAATCTGCAGATTATTTCTTCTGGTTAATCATTCGAGTATTAAATGTATTTGTTGCTCGACTGTAAATCCAAATATCACAAAACATGTGGTTCATAATGATGTTTGACTCATTTTGATTGACAAATTAATTATTGTTCTGTTAATTGCCTCATTTTTTCAGCTCCAGTGATAGTGTTGATGAAACTGTTTTAGAGGCGTGTTGATTCGACTTCATGGTCATTCTGGAGGCTGTTGAACTGTATTGCGTTTCACCGGCAGGTTTTTTCCGCCCTAATTATGTCATTGAGGGTATTTAATTACAAGCAGGAAGTCCTGACATCTGGAAGGGTTCAGACTAGCTCAAACTTTCTTGACTCATTAATAATTAATCCACTATCAAACTTGCTGTTGATCAACCAACTGAACGGCCCCAACTCTTGGACTTTTAAGATGAAGTATGAAAATGTAAATTTGATGGAGAACTAGAACAAACAGAAGAAAGAAAATCTTTTAATGATCTGTTTGAAGTTCAGGTGATTTGTAGTTTGAGCTAAAACATACAAAACTTAGGTTCAAGTGTCCATCAGAATTTCAAATGGTACACTGTGATTACCTGAACCTTTTTTCCTTTTCTTTTTTTGCAGTAATTAAGTGCTAAAATACACCCATGTGGTTTTCCAAGCAAAGTGAAACCAAAGTGAGGAATATGTTTGCATGGATCTGAGTTTCTGCCATTAGAAACCAAATAGCTGTGAGGTATATTTTGGTTCAAAAGGTCTGTGCCGGGGTTAATCTGCAATATCGGGGGTCAGGGAAAAAGAGGAAATGAAAGCCCGCAGACGATTCAAACATCTCGACCAGGCAACTTCTCCAGGGAGGGGATGGGAGGAGGAGGGGAGGGTGGGTAACGTCCGTCTGGTTCACACAGCAGAAAAATAACATTCACTCAGCTGGGACAACACACACACACACACACACACACACGCAAAAGAAAAAGGACTTTAAAACAACGTTGAGCAGATGGAAACAAACACAAGACTGTGTTCGATCTGAAGAATGTTATTTTGACCCACTTAGGCGACGAGACGGAGGAAGAGAAGATCCAGTGTGTCTGTCTGCTGGATGTGGAAGTGATGAGAAGCATCTTTATTTCGCTCTTTGCTTCCCACTATGTCGGAAAAGTGACTGGTTTAAAGGAAAAAAACGCAGCAGATCCTTTCAAAAAAAAAGAAAAAAAGAAGGTATTCTGTCAAATTATTCCTTCAGCGGGTTTTCATTAATCTCAGCTTCTCACGTTTCATTAAAGAAAGTTTTGTGCTCACTGACTGTAACCGAGACCCACACCAACATCAAAAAGTGGTACTGAGCAGTGTGTGTGTGTGTGTGTGTGTGTGTGTGTGTGTGTGTGTGTGTGTGTGTGTGTGCAGGAAAATGGTCTTAAAGGACTTGTGTGTTTATTGTGTGTAAGCTGACCTGTCTATATCTAAATAAATTAACAAGGCCCAGCGTTTGTTCTTCCTCCACCAGGGGTCTTAATCCTGCTCATCGTTTCCCCCTTTAACACACACACGTTGCATTTGTGTTCTTTTCACACACCCACACACACACACACACATGCACACACACACACACACACACACACATTAACAACCCCGATACCCTGTGAAGTCTGTGTGTAACTGAACAAGTGCCTGTTTCATGGCTGCTACTCCCGTTTCCCTGCTGTAATACCATCCCCATGCTCCCGTGTGTGTGTGTGTGTGTGTGTGTGTGGGTGTGTGTGTGTGTGTGTGTGGGTGTATTTCCATGCCTTTGTGTGCCTGCGTATAGTTGGTTTCATCCTGTGTGTGTTTGTATGGACTTAAATGTACATGCAGGTGTTTTGTTGCAAGCTCACGCACACACACACACGTGCACATATATACAGACAGACAGACAGACATACAGGTGTGGTTTTGTTTTTTTTTTTGGTGTGTGTGGTCCAAGAGGAGACCCACAATGGCCCAAGATGACAGACAAGCTGGGTTGAGGTGAAAGGCCTTTGTTCCTGCCGTCTCCCCCCGTCTCTTCTTACCACAACAGATATAGGTCAGAGCCCCCAGCCTGACTGCATCCATCTACAGCTGGACACGGCACAGTAAAGCTCCTATAGATGGGCAGGGGGGGTGGAGGGTCAATTTAACCCCCCACCCCCGGGATGTTTTTCAGTCTGCAGCAGCGAGGAACAACTCCTGGTAGATGGAGAGTTGACTGTGTGATCTAAAAACCGTTAATATCCCGTTATAAAGTCTGAAATCATTTGCGAACCAAACTGGCAACCCCATCTGGCAGCATCACGGAGGCCCGGCAGAGGATAAGCTTTATGCAAATGAGGCTTATAATATTGGGTTTTAACTGCCAGGCAATAAAGGCCGCTGGTCAGTTCAGTATTAGGTTTTAAAGAGAAGTCGTCAGTGTCCAGTCCAAACACAGTTAATAAAAGATTTAGCCACATCAATTATCTTCCTTTACAAAAGAAAAATGCCCATCAGGGCTGTATGGCTGCCATTAAGGACACTTTCATACAAGTTTTCTAGAAGTCTAGACCATATAATTATGTATATAAATAATGGATCATGATCTAGGGAGATTAAATTTACAGAAAATGTAATTTAACAGTTAAATGAATGAACATAATGTGTCTTTTTGTGAGTTTTTTGGTTTAAATGAAGAAATATTTCAGGTGGGAGGGGTTGTGTCAAAACATTCACATATATACACATGTGATTTTCAGATACTCACATGTGAAATCTAACATATATGAGTTCCACGTGTAAAACAACATCTCACATCCGAGCAAACGGTCCCAACTCATGGTTGACTTACTTTCCTCAACCGAATTGCATGGTCTTCGGCGGCAGATGGGAGTTTGCTCAGTTGTCACAGAGATGGATTTGACATGTGAGCTCAGCAGCTGTTATGATATAATCCAACCCTTTTAGGACCTCTCGTCCACGTTAGCTTAAAAGTTCATTTGTACAATGCAGTTGAGAGCTCTGGAAAAAAGATTTAAGTGGACCTTGAGTTGGTATTGTTTTGTCTAACTACTGTTTTCAAACTTGATATTTTTTCATGTGTTTTTTGATATTTCAGCAGCGGTGCTATCCACATACTGGATTTGCTAACGCTAGTTTCTGCGAGTAACTTAGCCAGGATTAAATGTTTAGGTGAAAGTGATTTTTTTTGCAACTGGCAAGTGGACAAAAGGCTGTTCTCTCTGGTCCAGACAAGATGGACAAATATGGCTGCCAGAGGGTGCACCGATAGCTTGTCCAGATGTTTTCTACGAATCGCCTCTGCCTTCAAGAGACAGTGAAGAATGAACGTGAACTGATAAATGATGCAAACATGTCAGCCACTAACTTCAACCCCCTTTGGTCCCATTCAAACCTTCTTAACGCCTGCACGCGTGCGGACCAGCATCTGGAGACAGCCCTCGCAAACACGAGCCTCCAGGCCCAGTGATGACAAAACAGACGGAGCTTCCTTATCAGCCACATGGAAGTGCGGCGATAAGAAGTGTTTGTTGGGGCTAAACAAACTGTTTTGACATGAACACAAAAGTGGCAGGACAGGAAAAACAAAAACCAGAGGAGGACGTGTGAATCAATCAGTTTATGTCCACACATGTTGACAAAACCTTGTATCCTCAATGTACAAGGAAGTGCTACCCAGAATCATTGACACTGGTTTGACTTGACCACGGAGGTCAGTGTTTCTTACACTGCAGGTCAGGAAACAGAACAAAGTACATGTAGCGGCGACTCACATGACCGTAAGGCCTCGACCGTTTTTAATGCGGCTGAGAAACAATTTACTCCATTCAGATTCCTCGTCTCTTGATCTAATTCATTACGTTCAGAAAAGTAGAACTGATAATAGATGCGCTACAGAAGCCCTCCTTGTCCAAGAGACCTGATGGATATCAGCCACTGTCTTAAATAACATGTTCTTTGAATGCGACTGGTTGAAGTAAATTCAAACAAAAAAAAAAAAAAAAAACAGAAAGAAAGAGAAGTACATTGAGATAACAAGTTCTCAGACAATCAGTTTCTTTGTGAAGCCGAGAGACAGGAGTCTCTTTCCCGTGAGACCAGAGTCTAATATTGTCCATTAAGAAAACAGGAAACATAGTGTTTGTCATCCTTCACGAATCTCCCATAAAGTCATGTTTCCCATCTTCGTTTTCCTGACGTGATCGAGAGAGAAGAGAGAGAGAGAGAGAGAGAGAGAGAGAGAGAGAGAAGTCCAACAGGTGTGTCTTCGTCATCCGCGCTGTTTGTTTCCAAGAGACCGACTTCGTTTGTCTTCGCCAAACCTCCTTGTATTAAAATCACCTGGTTTTGATGAAGCCTGCAAGAGGGAGTGATGGAGGGAAGAGGACAGGAGCGATGAAGTGTCTTTGTACGACTCCTTGTTTCTGCTGTTTCTGTTTTTCTTCTTTACACGAAAAGGAAAAAGAAAAATTAGAGTGGGACGCAGCGAAACAAAAGAATTCTTAATCCCATTAGGCCGGGGTTCAACCGCCACTTTCGTCCTGGCAAAGAAAAATAAACTGACTGAATGAAATGAAAAACAGATCACGCTCTCTTTCACCTCAATCTGTCCTTTTCCTCACCAGTCCCTCTGTCTGCCCATAGAGAGCATGAAAGCAAAGTAGAAACAGGAGTATGTCTCTAATCTCTTTCTCTTTATCACTCTGTGTCTCTTCTGTTTCCTCGTGTTATCAACCAAGTAAGGGAGGAAAGAGAAAAACAAAACAGGGGAGAGAAAGTCTTCTCTCTCTTTGTCAAGCAATTCCACCGCATCTGGATATCTTTCTTCTCGAAGGTCAGCATCCGGCCGGCACGTCCGACATGAAATCAAACTCGTTCTGACCCAGCCAGAGCTCGGGCAGCTCGTTGGCTCGGTCCAAGCCCAGCTCCACCACCAGCGACATGAGCACCTCCTCGTCCACGGGGTCAAAGTCGATAATTCCACCTGCACCGGAGCCCTGGTTCCCCATGCCGATCCCGACCCCCATCCCGCCTCCTCCAAGGCCTCCAGAAGGCCCCAGGAGCTGGTTGCCAGTGCCCAGAGGCGAGGATCCGAAGCCCCTTTGAGCTCCGCCGGGTGCTGGGTGTCCAACAGAAGCACCGGTGAGGTTCTGGTAGTGCGAGTTGAGCTTCTGCAACTGCATGCTGGCGATGAGATGAGGCCCCGTCTGCAGGCAGAAGGGCTGAGGTTTGGAGAGAGGAGCCGACGACAGCGTCGACCCAGGAGTGGAGGCGGGGCCAGCGGACGGGGAGAAGGGCGCGACGGAGGTTTTGGAGGACGGGTAGTGGAGCAGGGAGGTGAGAGGAGAGGAGGAAGAGGAGAGGTCCTTCATCGCAGCGTGGGCGTTGCCAGGGAACAGCAGTGAGGTCATCACCAGGAAAACCCAGAGGCTGCAGGAAGAAAGGGGAGATGTTATGCAATGTCATCAAACTGGGACATGGGGAGGAAGAGATAAGCTCGTTAGCTAAACAGAGACCTGCTCCTACGGCAGGTGATATCATCCAGACTATGTATCAGTAAAGATAGGATTTACTGTGATTCAATGTAAACCAATACATGCAAAAGCCAGACCTGCAGAACAGTAACCAAACAACAGGAAATTAAAATGTTATGTTTTCATTGTATGCTGTTTTATTGTCTACGCTCATAGTGGATTCTGTCATACCTAAGAAGAACATCCTGTTTATGCGATAGAAAAACACACATCCCAGTTAAACCAGATGCTCACAGACAACTGGGGAACTAACCCCCAGTTCCTCAGCTCTTCTGCCTGCAGAACAAACTCCTTTAAGGGATCAGTTAAACATTTTCAGATACATGTTCTTTGCTTTCTTGCTGAGCGTTACATGAAATCTCTCATAAAGCTAAAGTAAGCAGGTGAGCATTAGCTTTGCATTAAGACTGGAAGCCGAGGGAAACAGCTAGCATGGCTCTGTTCAAAGTTTAAAAAAAAATAACACGTCAACTAACACATTTAACGCTCACTAATTAACACATTAACTTACTAATTGAATCAAAACAACAGTCATTTTATTCACTCCCTTATCTGTCAATTAAATATGAGGGTACAGCTGCAGCTGGTTAGCTTAGCTCAGCATAAAGACAGGAAATAAAGGAAACACTCAGTCAAAGACACTTAGCACACAATGATTAGGCCAATGGACAAGTTAATGAAGACATGAATACAGAATGAAACTCCCAATAAAACCACAAGTTGTCATTTCCACATATGTCTGTGTGTATGGTTTAAACAAACAAGATAAAAATCGAGCTAAAGCTCTTAGCGCTAGCAGCTACCATCAGTAATGTCAGCAGGACAGATATGCCTTTTACTGTTTGGTGACAGCAAAGAAAAACAAAATAACAAAAAAAGAAATAGCAAAAAGTAGGATTATATATTAAGTGTAAAATTGGCAAATGTTAACTGTTGATAAAGAAAGATAAAGACCGGATGGACTGTGTTTATGCTAGGCTAAACTAAGCTAATCTCAACACACAAATATGAAAGCAGCATCAGTCTTCTCATCTAACTCTCGGAAACTGGTGTTGAACTATTTCTTTAACTTTTGGGACTTCTTGTGAAAATGTTTTGCGATAGAAGATGAAGATACTGATAATAATAAACTGATAAATTAGCTCTTTTCTTGGCTCTTCTGTTTGATGAATGATTTTACACACATGAGGTCAATATCTGTAAGTATTTTTAAACAGCACAATCTTATGAATGACAAACACAGTGGCTTGTGTTGACTGGAGGAAGGATGACAAATAACATAAGTGGTCATTTAACAGCGTTTCCTGACAAGCACGCGGCTGCTTCAGACCTCAACAACAAACGCGTTGTTGACTTAAGAGAGCGGCTTTACTCGTGTTCTTATGACCCTGGTAAATCACTCAAGTCAGATCTGTCTGGGAAACGTAGAACGAGGCGACTCTGGTGCCTGGACGCCCGCATGACTCGGTGTGTTTAAGACTGACTTTGTGCGTGTGTGTGTGTGTGTGTGTGTGTGTGTGTGTGTGTGTATTCGCTTGATGTCTGCTTTTCCTCTTGACCTATTGAGCAGCAAATTAACCATGAAAAGGCCGTGAGGAGAAAGCCTGTGGGTACCAACAGGGTTAGAGAGTGTTTATACGTCTATGTAAGGGTGTGTGTGTGTGTGTGTGTGTGTGTGTGTGTGTGTGTGTGTGTGTGAATGGAGTTCGCAACACAACAGTGCCTTTGAGGATCTCAAAGAGTGATTAGGTCACATGGCAGGATAAATACATATGGACCCTGAGAACAGAGCATATGTCTCACCGTGTGTGTGTATGTGTGTGTGTGTGTATGTGTGTGTGAATGGGAGAAAGTGTGTGTTGTATAAAGCGTGACAGCGAGAAAAAGTCATTGAGATGTTTGTGTCGAGGTAAAAAAGGGTGAGTGTGTGTGTGACTCAAACCCTCTTGCGAAAAGACTCCAAGAGGCTCATGTTAAAGTCCCCGAGCTGGTTTATATTACACACAGTTCAAACAGCATGTGCGGATTAACACACACACACCAACATCATGCGGCTATCCTTTGAGTAAGTTAATCACTTAATAATATGTGCCGATCCTGTGCCCGTTCCCTCTCTCTCACACACGTTTGTATTTCTATCTTTGCGAGGACCCTGATTCACACCCTAATCTTAATCGTAAACATCACAACTAAATGCTTCAGCCCTAACCTATAGTCTTGCATATTCAGACCTTATCATTCTGCTATAGGAAAATAAAAAAGCTGTGGCTTGTTCGCATTTCTTTAAACCAATCATAATCGTCTTGGGTGGCGCTGAGCCCAGGATGGAGCAACACTGCGAAATAATGTTTAGGGGGGAACTTGGTTTGGTGGAACAGTTGCACAAGGAGAGGTGATATTTGTCATAAAAACGGTGGAATTTAACATGAAGACGACACCACAAAGAGCAGTAAAAGACAGACAGTATGTCGACTGTGTGATTGCACGATCCAAATCTTTCAGAAAAACTTGTTCAGTTGCTTGTTCAGAGGTTGTTGGTAACTGTGTCCCAATTCAGTGGCCACATCCTTCTGAGGGGGCATTTCAAAACCGATTGTGTCACAGTGGCGTGACTAGGCTGCCCCATTTGGAAAGCTCTTGCGAAAAGCATCCTTCTTCTCCTGGGCAATTAAAGCTCCAACAGGTGGATCCTCCGTGGGCCAAACTCTCCCAAGATCCGCTGCCAGCCTGACGATTACAGCTTCAAGTGTTGGGTTTCAGCTCAGTTCAACGGCTTTTATATAACTCACTCTTTTACATTTTATTAAGGTTTAAAAAGATCTGCATAATTGAGGGCGTGGCCACTTCGAGTGACAGGTGGGCGAGTGTACGCGTCCCTCTTCTTTGCCCGTTTTTGTATTAGCCGGGAGTTCGGCAGAGTCGGGTACTGGCAAGATGGCCACTGGCGGATCAGCCCACCCAGCCGCTCTTCAGAAACCTATGCGTGACGTCCATCTTTATTTACAGTCTATGGTTGGGACACAGACTTAAATCTAACCTGAACCTTAAAACCAAATCTTAACCCTCAAACAGTCCTTTGAAGATGAAAAGTCCAAAATGTCCACACTCTCCAAGGTTTAAAACTCAAGTTGGTCCTCACAAAGACAGACTTACAAGCACACACACACACGCACACACACACACACACACACACATACCGAGCCCCTCCTCCCAGCGCTGGCTCTTATTTAGCGAGAACATAATTGCTACAGGCAGGCATGCAGCTGCACTCGACTGATAGAGTTAACACACACACAAAGATACCAAACAGCTGTCAATGGCAGGTCTGTATGTGTGTGTGTGTGTGTGTGTGTTCATTATTCATTGACTGATTACTGTCAGGGCCAGGCTGCACATGGTGCCTCTGCTCAACAGCTTTCCACCACACTGAGTCCAGGAGGCACAAACAAAAAAAATATATATATATCACACGCATGCAGTCGTCGTCGTCTCTCAGGAACAACTGCAGCTTCTTTCAAACCGTTGTTTTCCCACCGAAACACGACACATAAACAGATATTTCGCGTATTAAACTTGTGTCAGGGAACAAGTTGGAGTGAAAATCACAACAAAGTGACATGTGCATCCAATCCGACCAAGAGCTGCTCTGGTGTTTCAGATACTATTGCTTAACATTAGCATCAGCTAATTACATAAAGATGCAGTGGCACAGTGTCTCTGCCTTTGGGCTTTCAATGTGGCTTTGAAAAGTTTGTAGCCGAGGATGTAAGCTGCGGTCTTGCTCGGATTGATAACAATTACAGTGGATTCCAAAAGCAACTCAAACCACTTCTGCAGCACGATCCGCAAGTTCCTGGTACCATCTGAAATGCATCCCGAGGCGAGAAGCTGTCATCAAATGTCTGTTTAATACTTAACATACTTGTTTACTGATTATTTGATCACATTGTTCCTGATTTAAATCTAAATTTTACCAAGTTTTTGGACGCTCCTTTTAAAATCTTTCTTTCATTTAGGCGACGCTGTTGTGCAGCTGCTTATATTTAAACATTTAACATTCATGAACTGCGGAGTCTTTTATGGAAAAACATATTACAACATATTTCATAAAGTTTTGGTTTTGGTTTAAATCATCACAGACCTCAGGGTTTACTGATATATATCAAGAACTAAGGGTATTGAAGTTTCTGATTTATGGAGGCGCCAATGTGCAAAAAAAAAAATGTCCGAAATTGTAGCATCAACAGGTTTCATTGTTTGTTTTCATTTCGTTGCGGGTTTGGATTAAAAATCTCATCGCAATTTTCAAATGGTGCCTGTTTCATTTTGATGATGTTTGTCAGGAGTAAATTTGAATGAACTGAGGAGATCATAAAAACGCAGAGTGGATTTCCTCACATACTGTTTAACAACTGTAGCTCGCAACAATGACTAACACTCTTCTGTCTGTGTCTGACATGAGGATGGATCGGAGTCAGAAATGTCCAAAGTGTTTGCTCCTCGTCTCTCATGCGATCGGAGGGCGGTTCACTGGAGTTAGGAAGGATGCTGTATGAAACCGCTGGAGGAGAGCCAATGTTTTTTCCTGTTCACAGCTGACCTGACTCATTGTGTTCTTCCACCACTTTTTATGAGATTGTGAAATCGGCCCTGGCTTAGTTTCCCTGTAAATGATTTCATTAGCAGTCTAGGCTGCTGTCTTGGCGGTGGACTGCTCTGCATTTATTTTAATTATTAAGCAATGAAAGTCTGTCTCTCTCTCTCTCTCTCTCTCTCTCTGCCAGATTGGTAGCTCCAACAGAAAACAACAATACAGCTCTACAACACCTCCAGTTTATCTCAGAAATGTTATTACGGCTTATTATTTACTCCACTGAATGTCAGGAAATTGTGCAAATTGCCCATCACTGTCTGTCAGAGCAATTTACAGTGATAGAAAACAGAGAAAAGCAGCACATCAGGAGCTGAAACAGATGAATTTATGGAGCCTTTTTTTGCTCGAATAATGATTCATTTTCTCTTGTTTAATTCCCTGATTAATCAACTAATGGCTTCAACACTAAACATCATAGAAACATATAGAAAATGATGCCAAAAGAGATGAAAAAATGCATTAAGATCCCTTGAAGACGGACAAGACAGAAGTTGTGATTTCACATTTTTTGACATTTAATAAAGGAAAATTTGATTGATATTGAAGGTAATATTAGTTGCAGCCTTATTATACACCTACAATGTGGGATACAGTTTCAATAAAGCACAATAAAGTCACTACAGTCAGTGTTGAGTCCTCCCTATGGCTCCCAGGAGAATAATATAATATTATGATGGGAGTTAGTCACTAACAATTTATTGAGGACAATAAACTTACATTAGGGATTATATATTACAGGAACACTGGTGCATTAAAAGGTTTAAAGTTCATTCTTGACCTTCGACAGAGCAGCTGGGCAAACAATCTCACCACAAGGTCCATTTAGTAGCTGTTCTGGAGCTTTCGATCAAACCACACAGTCATCATTTCAGCTTCAAAACCAACACGGACGAAAAAGTGTTTAAAAGAAAAAAACAGTAAAACTGAACATTTACTGTTTGATCAGCTGGGAAAACTTCCATCTGCCGAAGAAGATCATGTGATATGATCGAAAGCTCCAGATAAAGCTACTAAATGGACCCTGATGTTAAATTATTTTGTCAACAAAGGTGAAATAGTCTCTAAAAAAGTACAATAAAGTCACTATAAACAGACTTTTGATCATAACAATTGATCAAATACACTATAGATTTATATAATATCATATCAAAGGAACAGCATTAAATTATAGGAATGCACACACACACACACACACACACACACACACACACACAACAGCAGAGGTTTCAATTACACAATTAAAGCGTGACGAGCAAATTGAAACGTCAGTCTGTCTCTGTCCCTTTCACACACACACACACACACACACACACACACACACACACACACACACACACACACACACACACACACACCATATGCCGTCCCAGCATGACACATTCACCACTTGTTTTAATTGCCTCCAACATCCACACTGAAGACAGTTAATGAGGAGCCGGTTTAGAGATTAAAAAAACAAAAACAAGCTGATGTGACTTTTGTTCCTTTTGAAACTTTGCTGTTTTGGATGGAAACGATTCTGATCACTTTTTTAAAACTCTCATTAAAAATCTTGTGTCACATTTTCCTCAACAGAAGGTGAACAGGAGCAGGAATCTTGCAACACACTAGTTGTACTTGCAGGAAAAAAAAAAAAGGTTTTCTATGGATTTTGCAGTAATGCCTCCCGTGCATTTCTGCAATAAAGAGATCAGGGATGTTTAAAAAGGCGTGACGCTGAGTTAGGTCGAGTTTATCCACATCTATACGCTCAAACTGCAGAGAAAATGTAAATTTCACACAGGCTTTTTACAGCAAAACCCCTTCAGCTTGAGGCAGAAAACGCTTGACCTCATTTGAAATGTTATGTAAACACTTGAGGAGGCAAAGAGACGAGCCTGAAAAACACTTTGAATAGACTTAGATTTACACACACTGACAAACTACTGACACAGTCTCCAAACACCTCTGGCTGTATAGAAAACAGAAACCAGAGGAAAGGAAGAGAAACTTTGACCAACCTGTGAGAAAAGCTCGGTGCAGCCTGACAGCAGCAGGAACTGGAAGAAAATATAGATTCAAACAGTGAAGTCCAGAAGGTCCAAGGTGTCTGTTTATAAGAATAAAAGCCAGGAAACTGTATCTGGTGTTAGAGGCTGAAGTCCCGGGGAAATAAACTGAGCTGACAGAGACACACTGACTGACTGACTGACTGACTGACTGACTGACTGACTGCAGAGACTCTGGAGGGTCTGTCCGCTCCTCAATGAGCTTGTTACTGAATAAAAAGCAGGTTGTGCCGCTCTCTCTCTCTCTCTCTCTCTCTCCTCTCTGACCAGCCCGGTGTGTGTGTGTGTGTGTGTGTGTGTGTGTCCGGGCAGGCTGCCATCCACAAAACCAGGAACTGGACTTCCAGGGGATTTGGATGGAGGCAGGGTGGATTGATCTTACTGGCTGAGTGGGCTGGGCCAGTGACATTTTAAATGTGAATGAGTGAATTTGAGTCAAATACTAAAACTGGGTCGTGGAAAACATCCACAGCTCTTCGTTGCACTGATTCCACAAGATGTTGAAACTTTTAGATTCTGCTTCATGTCGACAATGATTGTGTCACATCATTTCTGCAGATTTGTCAGCTGCACACTCATGCTGGGACTTTTCCTGCTCTACCACATCCCAGTCATCTCAGTCATCTCAGTCATCTCAGTCATCCCATCTGGATTCAGATCTGGTGACTGGTGAGACGACTTCTGCTTCTCGTGCCAGAGGCAGTCATTAGAAGATGGTAAATTGCAGCCATAAAGGGACGAATATGAACATCAATAATAACCACGATTGGTGCTAAGTGGCCTAAAGTGTGTGAAGAAAACATTGGACGTGTCTTTCCTGCTCACCACAGTTTGCAAAGAGCGGTTACCTGAGCAACCGCCGCCTTTCCGTCAGCTCCAACCCTGATCTTTGATGTGAACGTGACCTGTACCTGCGGGACTTCATTCATCGCACTGCTGCCATGTGATTGGCTGATTGGAAAACTGCACGAAGAAGACAAACGTCCGGTGTGTTGTATTCAAACGTTCCAGTGAGTCACGACGGAGAGACACCACCGGGACCCCGACAGGTCGAACCGTCCGCCGAGCTGAGAGAGAGAGAGAGAGAGAGAGAGAGGGACAGAGAGGTCGGTTCCGGCTCCGGATCGTGGACGAATCCGGCCTTCCGGGGTTTTGGCGCCGCCGCTCTTCAGGGCAGATGTTGCTCATTCTGAAGCAAACGCCATCAGGAATCAAATGGACCATTTCAGACCACTCTGTCTTTGTCTGTGTCACTCGCCCAGAGAGAGAGAGAGAGAGAGAGAGAGAGAGAGAGAGAGAGAGCTCACGTCTGTGAATGATTTGCTTAACTACATGTTCTCACTTGTGGAGATGTCTTCATATCATTAGAGACACTGATGAATATATGTGCTGAATGATTTATCGTGGCAGCTTGGTTTGTGTGGAACATACGAAGAAATGTTCCGGCTTTGGTGATTTTATGTCATATTAACATTTAAATGACATTTTAAATATAAAGTTAGATCTGAGTAAAAGCTGATTCACATACATTCACACAGACAGAATATCTTTCACCACAAATATACTTACTTTTTCTTGAATTACAGTTAAGTGTAACTCCTTGGCATAAAGAAAATATTCCCTGTTTATATGTATTTTTATTTGGTGTAATCAGTAACAATTTGGTTTGGTTTTATTCTGTCATAAAACAACATGATGTTTTTGCAAAAATATGCCCGAAACAAATAATGAGCATAAAAATATTTATACGGGAAATAAAACAATACAAGATAATAAATATGACAAAAAACAGCCAAAATTTTATGCTTAAAATGAAGCATGTGAAACAAATTTCTTTTATTTGCTTAAACGTATTAATTTCCCGCCACAACAAATCAGTTTCCTCTTAACAATCTTGTTTTTATTCATCTTCCACATCAGGCCACCCTGCTCCAGTATTACTGGAAGCAAAAGCTCTTTTCAATTCAAGTACCAGAGGTGATCAGCGACTGTCCGTGGTCACAGGATCGGCTCGTTGGACTGTTTAAATGTTTAAAAGTTTGTCCTCTGCCACCTGGAGCAGCTTAAACTCAACACCAAGATCTGCTGAAAAACCAGATTCTCGTCTCCTCTGGGTCAATTTAGCCTATTTTATTCATAAGGGACAAACAAAAGCTGTTTGGGAAAAAGAGAAAAAAAAAAAAATCACTGAAAGCGTTGTTGGGGAACCTCCACCAATTCATCAAAAAAAAAAAAAACTCCAGTCCCTCCCACAACTCCTGCTAAAAAAGAACAAGTCCATTCCCCATTCAACATTCACCTCAATAGTCTTTGGAGGGAGGACGTCATTACGCGCCAACAACATGCAACGACGCGGTCAAGTGCCACGCGCTCGGCCTCTCTTCCGTTAAGCGGATAAAAGGAGGCATCTGTCTTTATTGTGCGAGTAAATCCCCTCCGCCATTGACCGCAGACACTTCACATGTTGATGAGGAGGAGGACGTATAGACGGAGGCCCCCGCCGCTTTGTTCCCCTCGGGGGAGACGTTATGCAAATCAAACAAACCGTTTGTGATTTCCATCTCTGGAGATAAATAATTATAGCACGTTGATCAAACTGCCAGCGCAAGTTTTGTTTACGAGGTTTGGTCGAAAACCGCGAGGGTTCCCCGATATTTCACACACCGCACCTCTGGAAACAAGTTCTTTTCTTTCCCTCCCGAAACAGATACGATCTGCGCTGGTTTGGAAAATTCCCAAAAATCGAACTCTTATGCAAATGTTTAGCACAACTGGCAAAGCTTTTAACCAGAAAGGAACCACGGACAAACAGAGGAAGAGGAAGGACGGGTCTTTGGTTTATCTAAACGACTCAACAGCGAGGGTCAAATGAAACTTTATTCAAAGCACCGGCTCAGTTGTGGAGAGGCCTCGGTGCCGATTTGCATACAAGTCGTTTGGAAAGTTTTTTTTTTTTTTCTTTTCATAGAGCAGTAAAGGTGTGTTCAATACAAACCAGAACAGGAAGAAATGTAATCGCAATAAAACAATGACCTTTCTCACACAGGATCTCTTTATGTGTTGTTAAATGAACCGACTGGACTTTAAGCCTCCCCCCCCCCCAACACACCCTCCCTAAATGTTAGACTGAAGACCGAAGTCACCGGAGGCCTGGATACAACCGCTCTTTACAACTCACCACTTTGTGATCGACCCAAACCAAATCCAAAAACCTTACTGCATAGATTCCAAACGCTGCCTTCCATTTTCATATCGGAAAAAATACATCTGCGTGTCTCTGGAGGAAGAGAAAGTGTGCCAAAGACAAATTACAGCTCAACACTGGCAAAGGAAACCTCTGTCTGCGCCGTAATGTGGAAGACAAGTTTTTCCTTTACAGAATATGTTGCATCACAGGGCTGGTTTATGTGGGATTTTTAAATGACAGAAAATCTCCATAATCTTGTCCCTAGTAATTTAAATTCCATGCAAACGGGGCTGCAAGTGGACAAATGTTATGTAACACAGACTGTACACTGAGCTGAGCCAGTTGTTCCTAGCTGTTCCTAAAAAATAGTTCCTGTTACTGTGATCTGATCGTAAACTTTTTGTCTTCGATGCACTTTGCCCTACATCTGTGGGTCAGTTTGACCAAAGATTCATACACCAGGTTTCAGCTCACAGATGTCGGTGTATTGGATTGTTTAACATTTGTTCTCTTCAGAATTAGAAAGAAAAAAAAGTTCTGTTACCTGCTGGTTCAGTAAACACCAGTCCTCCAACCTGAACGACCACGTGGGTCGTTTGTTTCTACCCTCCGATACGACCCATAGGGAGCGTCTCCTGAAATAGTGCCCTTCCTACTAAACCTCAGTTGTCATGGTTACAATAATAACTGTACCGACAGCGTACCTACGATTGTCGCCACGGTTACTATAAGAACGGTCATGGCTTGATTGGGTTTAGGCACAAAAACTACTTGGTTAGGTTTAAGGAAAGGATTGCGATTTTGGTTAAACTTGGTACGCCGACTTCCTTGACATTAAAACGGTCTTCGTTGTCATGGTTACAACATAAACCGCCACTCTCACATGGGAATCGAAACACCGCTGTCCTGTGTCGATTTCGTTGATTCATCCATCCGCAACAACCTCCTCCTGACGTGGACTTTGCAGCTCTTTATACTACGTCACCGCACTTTTCCCTTCGCTCCTGTCATAATTTACTACGTCCACTAGATGTCGCCTAGCAACAAAACGTAACTATTGGTCATAATAAAGGACACTCTTCAAACAAAGTCGGATCGTCGAAACAGCACGAACAGTTTGAACTTTTTTCGGAGGTTTGAAATCAACAATCTGACAATAAAACCGTTGGCCAGGTGTGCAGAGGGAACATTTCCCTCAACCCTTTTTTCCACTTTTCACCCGCTACTTCTGCCAGTTTTTTTTGCGTGCAACATCATGAATAGTTGTAACTTCAACTTTTTTCCTCCAGTTTTTATGTTCTTCTTGTCTTAACCCAGAGTCTAAGGGCAGAAAGTGTTGTATCCTTCGTAGACTGTAAAGTCTTTACAGCCAATTTGTGGTTTGTGCTTGAATAAAATTGACTGGACTGCAATGCCTTTGAGGAATGGCTGTCCAAAACTGTGCAGTGATGAGACAAAGTTCTTGCGGAGAGAGATGGAGGACGCAGTGAGATCCAGCCAGGGAAGGCAATAATGAGGAAGTTTTCCCCTTGTTTTTGAGTGTGATCCTTCAGAAAAGGTATAAACACTTTTGCTTTTAGATGGTGCAGAAAATTGGTCATGTTAACGAGTCCATTTGAAGCACACTGAAGCCTTAACGGTCTTGAGGACATGGAGAAAACACTGTAAATGTTGAGGCTTGTGTTGTTGTGTGAAATCTGTTTTCCTGCATTAAACTTGGACGTGATACACTCCCATCCACCCTGACCTCGTTACGTAAAAGGTCTCACTACTTCAAGCGTTGGCGCTGGATGTAGATTATGAGGTGCAGAACTGTCAAATATAGATGTTACTTCCAAGGGATACTGGGCTGAAACATAACGTTGTGGTTCCAAGTCTTTGGCTGGGACTAATGACATGGGAAAAGCTCTGGTCTTAGAACACATACACATACAACAACAAAACATCGGAGAGATGGACCCAACAGCTCCGTCGCCTCAAAAACTGGTATTGTTTAGTATTGAGGCATTTTCAGTTTTGCTTGGCTACGTTTCCAACGGTAAACAACCAAAAGACTTTGTTTCCTCCTAAAATAAGATAACACGGGTCGCGACAGAACCCGATCCCGGCTTTTGCTTTTTTGTGAAAACGCGATCCATGAATTCCAGCGGTGCCCTGATTCCTCCCCGGGGCCCCCGGGTTTTTCTAATTTGACTCTTCGGAGCAAAGAAAAACTACATAAACACACACGAGTCTCTCACGTAGCTCATGTTTACAGCCCCTGCCCGGTACCGTGTAAACCCCCCACCCAACCACCCAACCACCCACCGACCCACCCACTTTCTCCCCCTCCCCCAAGTTTATGAGATAGAATTTCAATCGTCTATACTTTTCCGAACTCGTAAACGGTGTAATGAGTTTCATTTGCTTCGGCTACGTTGGGCTCAAACCGCCGAGGTGACCGCAGCAGTGTTCATAAAGATCACAGGGAATCCTCACACACACACACACACACACTCATAGCCCACTTCTGTTCAGCACATGCCAGCTCTGAGTGGTGACTCCTACATTTGGTGTGAATTTCCAGGCCATTAATTTAGGGAACATCACTTCTAAAGGAAACTGGCCGACATTTGTGGTTCCTCTTTCAAACGCTCTCCATTAAAGCCTCTATTAACCAGCCCACACTGCATAAATCACAGCTTAAAACGCAGCAGAGACACATGACAACAACATGCTCTCTTGTCTTTTATTTCAACAAACGTCCGTGGTATGAACATCAAAAAACAAAACAAAAAAAAAAAGAAGTAATTCTGTGAAACAAATGCATAAAAATAAAATGAAAAAAAAACAAACAAAACAAACAGTTTACAATACTTTCTTTTCAATATTCAAACAATATGATAGATCAACTTTACCCTAAACACACAGGATGTCATGTTTATCTACAGTGGGGTTTAAAAGTTTTGGTCAAATGAGTGTTGAAGTGAAAAGTGATGTCACATACATATATTTAGAATTAAAAACGGGTGGAAATAACCATTAAAACTGTTGTTTTCTTTTTCTTTACCAAGTTTAAAATGTGTTTTTTATTTTATTCAGCAGCAGTTAAAGATGCAAGATAAGGCAGAATCTTCCTTTATTTTTTCTACTTTTTTTTTTTCTTTTAAATGTGCAAGAACAATAAAAAAAAAAGACGACACGAAAAGAAAGGAAGTATTGATATGTGAATCTTAAAAAGAAACCAATAATGGATTTTAATGCCTGAAAATGAACATTCATAGTAGTTTCACCAAAAAAAAAAAAAAAAAAAAATCTTTACTCAAGGTCCACTTACTAGCTTTTTTCTGGAGCTTTTGCTCACATTTTGCAGCTGAAGGAATGGGGAACGAGGAACATGCGGTTGAAAGCTCCTGAAAAAAGCAAATCTGTGGACATTGAGTCGGGATTTATTTTGTCAAACTAGTTTCTATGGTCAAACATGAGCTACCGATCAACGCAGCAATACCAAAGACTTGATGATGATCCAGTTAAGTTTTCTTCACTTGTTTACCCCCCACCCCCCCCACGTCAAAATGTCAACATCCCTCATGCACCTCAGCTTCATTAGGAGGATTTAGAGATTTTGGTCACTGTTCAGTTTTGATGTGCAGCGGCTGAAGCTGCTCGATGCGACTCTGCCAAATCACAAACAGTATAGCTGGAGGGATTAAATGAGGTTTCGCTGTTTTTACAAACTTCTCCAAACATGGAAGTAACCAGATGCCCTTTGCATCTATTTTTAGAGCTGTTTGAGGAATCTTAACGGCCAATAAAACAGACTGCAATCTTTGCTACCTCACTCTTTAACTTAATTCATTTTCTGTACATTTCATCGCTTGTTTGTTTGTTTGTTTGTAATCGAACAGCTGTCGAGGATTTTCATATCGTTCAGCATCAAAGAAGGGAGTGAGGCTTGACACACAGCCCTGGTGTGTAGTTCATATGATGGTATAGTTGAGAATGATACACACAGTTTGGGTGACGTCCAAATATTTTCATTTCCAGTCCTTCTGGGGGGAACCTGCGGCAGCCATATTTGTTCAGTGACCTGAGATGAATTGATTTTACCTACATCTCCAGTCGTGCCAAAACCAGTTTATCTAAATCCTCCTTAAAGTTCACGTAATCTCTCTGCTGTTGTCCGTCTGTGGAGGAAAAAAAAAAACCTTTTTAACTTTCCCTACATATCTTCCATTTAAAATTCCAAACTCTGTCCAGATGTTTGATTTGCAGATTTCGCCCAGAGGTCAGAACAGTGTGGCTGAGCAAATCAACTCAGAATCTGTAACCGGCTATTTCCCAAACCTTTCCAGCCTGTTTGTTTGTAAACCTTACAAGTTTCACACAAGCTTTTCACATACTTTTCAGGACTTTCCAGACCTGATCAGAAACCCAGGGTTGTTTCTTTTCTTTTTCTTTTTTTTACAAGGATAACGGAGCGTTTTGGGAACGAGGCTGTTTCGCTATATGTCTGTTTTAGTGCTTATCTGTCTTCGGGGGGTTAAAATCACAGCAGCACCGGGGTGAACGTGAAACCGGACACCTGAAAAATCTGTTTTTTCCATTTAGTTTAAAATGTGCAACTGATAGGACGCACACAGACGCATCCCCTGGATACCAAAAAGAAAAGAAAAAAAACTTGGGGTGCGCCGACTGTAAAATCCTGATGTAATTCAGTTTTACATAACCGCACTGAACACACCGTAAAGTCGCTCATTCACACAAACACACATAACTTTTTCAAAACAACAAAGGATTAAAAACAGTGAACAACATTGTACAGCGACCACATCCCCCCCCCCCCCCTTATTAAACTGTTTTCCCCTGGAAACACTCAGCTAATGTTTTCCAAAACCTTCCCTCGCTCTCTTTTTCCTGCCTTCATCCCTCCCTCGTTCGCTCCGTGCCTCGGGGCCGAAGGGGTCCGCTCCATATTGTCTTCATTAAAGCCGCCGAGCATCGACCTGGATTGGAAACATGGTTTGTGTGTGTGAGTGTGTGTGTGTGTGTGTGTGTGTGCGTGTGCGGAGGAGGTTGAGGCTGCCGGCTCCTAAATCACATTCTTTAAATTCCCTGTAAACAAGAGAAAGAGACAGAAATGAGAGGGGTTGGGAGGTGGGGGTGGGGGGGCACACACACACACACACACACACACACACACATCTAACAACACATCCACACACACACACACAAACAAACAACAAGGACGCAGAAGGGTCAAATGCATCACATTAAGTGGGATACAAAACCAGGCTAAATACACACATTAGACAGCAGGAGAAACCAAACCAAAGATGGAAGCAGTATGGAGGAGAAATACACACACACACACACACACACACACACACACACACACACACTTGTGCCAATGAAAATGCAAAATAACATCTGGCCGAGGTAAGCCCTGTCGCTCCCCAGGAAATACAAGCATGCAAAAAGGGAATCGATATGGAAATGACAACGTTAAGCAACACTGCGAGTTCATTTGCATGAGGACACAGATTGGTTTCCATGTCTGACAGACGCAGACACACACACACAGACACACACACACACACACACACACACACACACACACAAGTTGACACAATAGCTGCATTATAAAGTCTGGTCGTCGGTTTACTTTATGTGTTTCACTGGAAACAATGCTGCTTTGTTTGTCTGTTGTTATGTTAAATGACCTGATTGTGAAGAATAACCATGTTGTACACACACACACACACACACACACACACACACACAGGGGGGATGAGTAATTGCCCTGACAAATGTAGCCCCTTCACTGACGCAGTGAGGGAGGATGTCCTGTTGGTCGGCCATTGTGGAGCTGTCAGTGGAGTCCTGTCACAGTGACAACAACAGCAGCAGCTTTATCGAGAACCACACGGGAAAAAATAAACTGTAATTAATACTTCCACGTGTTCTTCCTCCGGGCCTTGATCACTCTGCCTCCACCTCTCCGTTTCTGTCTCAGAGAAGGTGAAGATTCTTTAAATCTGTAGAAAAGAGGCTTCGTCTGTTTGTATCCACGTATGTTAAAAGTAGCGTGAATATTATCATCAATTTTCCCATAGATGGATGCTTTAAATGTACACACATCCATGCTTTCACTCAGATTTGACCGAAATCTGGAGTTAACTTCTAAAGAAGCAAGAGAGGGACATGAGGGACAGAGGTGTAAAAATATGTGAAATATTTTGCATATTTTTCATCCTATTCATATTTTGTCCTACATTTTTTATTTTTTCCAATTCCACTTTGACAGTATCTTCTGCATTTTGGAGTTAATTGTTGTCTCTCAGTATGTAAAACCTTTCCATTGCGTTGTTGGTTTCTCTGTGGGAAATCCGCCCTATATTACACTACATATGAGCAGGATGCATGATGTGATGTGATGTGATGTGATTTGGTCTTTAAGCCCCGAAGAAGACGACACGCTTGTGCCGAAATGTTAGGTTACGGAATAAAGTCGGTGCTGAATAACCGTCAATATGCTTGTTTGTTATCTACAGTTTATTAATTTATCATATTGAAATTATACTTATACAAGAAACTAGGATCAGAATGAGGAGTTCAAATATTCAAAAGGTGAAAAAGTTCAGTTTAAATGCCTAAACTTGACGTTCATTGGTTAAATACAATTTACTTATTGGCCAAAAGTAGGATTTTCATTGGTTGAGACCAGCTAATATTTGACGTCCATTACAATGGATGCTGGGTTTGGGGGGGGGTTCAAGAGACTTCCCCTTGTGTCCGCCACAAATTCAGGCAGCAAATACTGGAAAACATGATTACAAAAAACAGTTCCAGCTCACACTTACACTTTAATCACCACATACCGGGTACAGATTCAGTGGCCGCTGTCAGAGTCTCTGGGGTAACGGTTGCAGACAATGCAAATTTTTTTTTTTTTTTTTTTTTCCAACTGTGACAATAGGAAAAGTTTCAAAAATCATGATGTGAGCTAAAAACAGGAAACGTACGAGAAAAGAGGAAGAGCAGTCAGATGTAGTAGAACCTCAGCACTGACAGAGCAACTGCTCTCCCTGCAAGGTATTCGCTTCACAACATCACAATGATGATTAAATGATGGAAATAATTAATAATAATAATAATAATTAATCAATTAACTGTTGAAGTGATTTGTGAAGGACAATGCCAATCAATGTTTGGTTTGAGCTTCTGATTTCCTGTGTTTTATATCAGTGTAGATTTAATCATTTAGAGGTTTGGGACTTGGAGAATAAAAACAATATGAAGACATTACATCATCATTTTTCATTATTTTCTGACAGTAAATGATTAATCTAAAAATACTGACGTATAAGAAAGAAAAAAAGTTGACTGACTCTTCGTTCTTTTCCCTCCCTGTATTCATCCTCCTGCTCCTCTTTGCTTTCCAGATGTAAACGGTAAATTCTGCTAAAGTGACGAACAACCACGGGGGCCTCTGATATTTACTACCTGCAAACGTTCATCTATCACAGGGTCTGTGGTTATTATCCTCTGTGTGTGTGTGTGTGCGTGTGTGTGTGTGCGTGTGTGTGTATTTCTTACGTGGCATTTTTAGAAGTAATTCTCTGGTTCAAGTTTGAATGTGTTCATATCTCTTCTCTGAGTGTGAACTGTTTCATGTCCTCCTCCTCGTGTGTGTGTGTGTGTGTGTGTGTGTGTGTGTGTGTGTGTGTGTGTGTGTGTGTGTGTGTGTGTGTGTGTGTGTGTGTGTGTGACTGATATGGAAAGCATCTTGTCAGCACAGGGAAGAATTAACGAGTAGCAGGATGTAAAGATGCTGCAATATTTCCCTGCTGACACACAAAGATAATATAAGATACAGTCACACAGAAAGGCTGGCAGTTTCCAAACACACACACACGCAGCCCCTGGGGAAATCATGCTACCAGAGTCTCATAAACACAGATGTGTGAATACACAAACAGTCAGACAGCTGCTGTCGCCTCTGACAATCACCTAATAAAAATCACATCTTAATTAATACAGACACTTAACGAGCCTGAGTGTGTATGAATGAGAGAGAAACAACAGGAAACGCTGAGTAATCCCCTAAAAAAACATTTTAAAATACACAAAGGTCGACTGAAAATAGACTCACTGGACAGTTTATGTTTATAAAAGGCAGAATGTTTCTGTTGCTGTTGACTTTTATTATATAAACTGACATGGTAGTATACTTTTTTATTTTTATTTCTAGAGACAATAATATCTGATGCTTTCTTCTCATCAAATTTAAACTGCAATTCCTCCAACGTTTGATGAGATATTTGACTTTGCACCAGACTCCAGTGGATGAATCTGAATCTGTGTGTAGTCATGCTGCGACTTTTCACCTGTAGCGCCACCAACAGGTCAAAAGTTCCTCTTGTGTGTTTAAGTTCTTGACGAATATCTCTAAAAACTTCAAGGTAATTTGCTAACAACAATAGCATGCTAAAACTGACACTACTGCGGTACAACAACACACTAAAAGTTACTAAATGGAGTAACATGCTAAAAGTAGCATCCTAACCTTAAGCAACCATGCTAACATTTAAACACAACAGCTGTTTAATACCAAATGTCAACATGTAAATGTTATACAGGAAGAAGAGAAGGTCCAAGAGATAAAAACAAAAAAAGGAGAGGAGGAAGAACATTCAAGAGAGGGAGAAATGAGAGTGGTAGCGTTAGCATTCGGCTTAGATCAAAGCTTAGCTTAAGTTCAGTGGAGGCTGACGAAGTACGAGCTGAGTCTGAATGAATCATGTCTAAATGCTAACATGTATGCTAATTTTAGCATTCTGCTCAAAGCACAACTGACCCTAAGTATATCTAATAAAGTACAAACCAAAACCAGATCTACACAATGAAAGAGGCAGTTTTTTCTTCCAGATACTGATGAAACAGTGAAATATGATGCAAGAAGTTCAGTGTGAGTAACAGACCCGTGAAGCTGAACGATTATCAGATGCCAAAACACTGCTCAGTGGTTTGTAATACTCTGACACTGGGTTTTTACAACTCTGCCACCGCAGCAACTGTTTGATCTTTTGTTAGAAAAATACGACGTTGACGTGACAAACCTACCGCAAAGCTACGAGCTAAGCCTCGACGACGACGACAACAACAACACTATCATTCAGCTCAACACACAGCTGAGTCCAAGGGGGGGGGGGGGGGCAGATGAAGTGCACCTGAGGCTCACTGGAACTGACTTTCTGCAAGAGTTGAAGATGTAAAAGAGGAGAGAGTCACTTCTCAATATTTCATTCATTGAAAAATCGTGGCGCACGCATCATTTCCCGCTGGTACGAAATGATATTTTCTCGTAGCACAGAGCGCTGTGAGCACATATCGTCTCTGATGTATGTGTACTGTTCGTTAAACAGATGGGTTAAAGACATAACACATGCTGAACCAGAATGACAAAAAGAAAGAAAGGATTTGGAGGATTACCACTTTTAGATTCAAATCTTTACAGTTCATTCGTGCCAGCGGACAGAAGCAGATGTGGGCATACAGACAGACACACACACACACACACACACACACACACACACACACACACACACACACACACAAACTCACACTGCCCAGTTTCTCTGGGAAACCAATGTTTATAAGCAGCACAGCACTTCCAAAACCAGAGAAACACTTATCCACCCCAATGATGTCATGTGGATATGTTTGCCTAGAGGTGTGTGTGTGTATGTGTGTGTGTGTGTGTGTGTGCATTAGTTAAGTTAGCAGACGTGTAGATTTTTCTTTAATCAGAGACAGAGACGAAAAGACACGCACACTTACTCCAGTGTTTTAAACAGCAACACGCTCACTTCTGGTTGAGGTTCTGGTGTCTCGCTTGTTGTGTGGTAAAGCGTTTTGTGACAGAGCTAATTTTCGTGAAAAGCGGTTTCTGACTTGACAGAGAGCAGACGAGGCAGAGAGACTTAAAGAGAGAGAGAGAAAGACAGAGAGAGAGCGAGAGTGAGCGAGAGAAAGAGAGAGAGAGGACATAAAACAGACGTGACAGGTTGAAACCAGGACTGAAACGTCTGTGGAAGAAAGGGAAGAAAGAAAAAGAGAAATCTTGGTCCAACTCCAAGGATGGACAATTTTTGTTGGTGTAAGATTAAAAACATCCTGAAATATCTCCAATAATTCAATAACTTCACCTAAAACACGACAACTTTCCTTCCTCAACGAGCAGTTAACAATTAAAGAAGAAGAAAGAGAACGAGAGATCTGATAAACGACAGGAGAGGCAAATGGGACGCAGCAGCCAAACGCACATTTTCCCCCTCCGATTTCTCTCCATCTCTGGCTTGCCTGTGTTTCATTTCTCCTCCCTTTTATTCCCTCCATCCATCCGTTCATCCGTCCGTTCCCTCCGTCGCCCCTAATAAAAGCCGTATGACTGGAAACCAGCGATACTTTCAACCCCTCCGGTTGTCATGAGTTAATGCGAGCCAACGGACCAACTGAATTTCGGCAAACAAACTCCCGTTCCCCCGATCTGATGCGACCTGGAGTTTTTCAGAACCTAATGCTGTTTGGATAAAAACCGCCCCGACATCCAGCGTGGTTTCTGTCAGTCGCTGCAGGACGATGACCCGTTCGGTTGGAATTTTGGTCGCTAATTGATAACACGTCCGCTCTATGTGAGAACGCCGTTCTCCCTCCACCAATATGGAGCTTCTGTCCTGTCACACTCTCATCCCCTGATGGTACGCCGTTAAACTCAAAGGGAAGAGGTAGGAAGATGAAGAGATTTAGAAGGATTTTTTTTTTTTGTGCTATGACCTTTAGAAAAAGTTCTAAAGGTCAAAGGTCATGTGTGAAATGCTGAATGTGGGTAGAAGCTTTCTGACATGTAGAAAGTCGCCATCTTGAATGGCATCAACTCAAGGCAGTGACTCCCAGTTACTACGGGCATTTTCAAGTCCAAATTTCCTGGATGAAAAAAATAAAAATAAAAAATATGAAATTTGTCTAGTTGAGACCTAAAACAGAGTTTTACATTTAGAATAAACAGAATTGAAAACAACTTTTATGCTTTGTTGGATGTTTTTTTAAAGACAAAGGGAGTTTTGACTCTTGCGGTTTTTTGAGGAAACAAAATCCGTCTCCTGCTTTCAGTGGCGCTTAGATGTGTAAGTCTGAGTTTATCTTCCACTTTTCAACATAAAACATGTTGACGTGACCAGATTGGGGCCTGATTTTATTCCCTTTAGTGTCTCCAGAGTCAACAGTGTTTTCAACACCTTTCAATCAAACAGTAACACACACACACACACACACACACACACACGACGGATAACACAACTGTGATGTCAAATACAACAGAGGGAAGGGAAGGAGGATTTCCTTTTGGTCTGTGGTTAACACGTCTACGCACCAGAACTTCGACATTTACGAGACACCAAAATCAGATTTCTCTCTGTGCAGTTTTGATGTTCGGAAAATGAACTCAAGTCACGGTTGTTTCTGTTGCGGCGAGTTCCTGACCTAACATCCAATAATTCTCCCGCCGCTCAACTCTTCACCTGAGCTTCACCCTGACGGAGGATCTCTCCCGGGTGCTGCGGGCTGTCAGCGCTGAGACCGAAGGCCCAGAGGTTTAGGGCTTAACCACAGCGCTGCAGACACTCACACTCACGGATGGATGTACAAACATAAAGGAATATATATATATATAGAAGGAGAAAGATGCAAAGAAATAAAAGAATACCACATGTGTCAAGACCCAGACTCAGACCAAAGAGGTTGTGGGTAAAAGAGCAGGGTTGACAGTTTATTCACACACACACACACACACACACACACACACACACACACACACACACACACACACACACACACACACACACACACACACACAAAAGGATGTTAAGAGTCACAGGGAGGGGGATAAAAAAAAGAACAAGTCATACTTTCATCCCACACAGAGACGTATAGGAGCAAGATCAAAACATGAAACCACACATGAAAAGAGCCGTGCAGAGACAAAAGGGGTTTTAGGTGAGAGAGGGTTCACACACACACACACACACACACACACACACACACACACACACACACACACACACACACCTGTTTATCCACCCCACCTTCAACCACTCTAATAGACACACCTGTGCATCCACCCACCCACACACACACACACACACACACACACACACACACACACACCTTTGATGGTGCTGATGACCTGGTCCAGGTGTTTGGTGTCGTTGCGGTCTGGTCGACAGCTCGGGCTGATCTCCAGCGAGTAGTCGGGTCCGTATTCTGTGAAAAACTACAACACACACACACACACACACACACACACACACACACACACACACACACACACACACAAAACACACTGAGAGATCACATCACGACAATCATCATGACAAATCTGGATTTACTGATTTCAAAATGACGTTTCTTTTCTTTCTCTCCGTCACAGTCAAACTTTAATCCCTCACATCTGCACGCAGTCGCTGCAGCCGAGCGCCAAAGTACATTTTCTCCTTTTTCTCTCTCTCTTTTTTAAAGAATGCAGCTGCTTTCCTGGAAAATTCCAGCCTCCGTTTGGACTTTGAAGAACTGGACTGTGAAACTGACTTGGTGATGAATATTTACACAGGCTTTCAGGGATCATTCTTTAAGAAAAAAAAAAGAAAAAGAAAAAGGAAATACATCCAAAAGAGTGAAAAACATCAAAGACTACCTTTGAAATATCGAGCTATGGCTTTTTTTCCCCCCTCTCCGCAACCAACATATCCACTTGTCATCCTTTCTCGTTGCTTTTATAGATTTATTTGCCCATATTGTGCATCATATAAATGATCTGATCAAATATGGAAGTAGTGGTAAAAGTAGTTTTCTCCCCTTTCTCAGATGAAATAGATTAGAAAAGTGAAATCAAAAATGAGATTAAGAGCGTATAGCCATGTTAGCATCTCTGTGAGGTGGTACTGCACTGAGCTAAATGCTAACACATGATGCTAACGGGTATAACCATCACAGTGATACCTTAGCGTCAGTCATGATCCAAAGTATTGGACTAATTCAGATTTTGACCTGATGGTGGAACTTGATGAAAAGTGAAGAGATCACCAAAGTCATTACAATTCATCCTCAGGGGAACATGAAGATCTCTGCCAAAGTTTAAGTGAATCCATCCAATGGCTGTTGAGACATTTCACTCAAACCCACAAACAAGAGACTCATGATGCTGCTCAAGGAAAAGTCGGGGGATTATCAAACTCATTAGGATTCATCCTCTGGGGACCATGAACATCTGTGCTAAATTTCAGGGTAGTCTTGCTTGACTGAAGTGGTGGACAGAGCAACATCGCCATCTCAAGAGCCAGAACACACACACACACACACACACACACACAAAAGGTTTTTCAGATGGACACATGTTCCTTATATTTCCTGAACTCGGTGTGTTGTCTAGGAGTTGCATTAACACAAATAAACGTATGAGGCCGACTCGTCTGGTTCATGTGCGGGGAGAGAAAATGTAATGCAGATCACAGAAGAGGAGTCAGTCAAAGGTTCTCTAAGACAGACAGGGCTTCACCAACACGGGTGAAAAAATAAAAATAAAAAAAAAGGGTCTGAGATTATTTCAGCAAATACCAAAGGCTCCTGGCATTTCATGCAGAGTCGTGCCGATTCCATGAAAACAAAACCAGCCAACAATAAAAAAAAAAAGAAGAAAAAAAAAAAGAAAAACAGGTGGAAATCCAGAGAGTGGGTTCAACCAGAAGTTAAAAACGGAGCACGTCAGTTGAAAAAATGCATTTCCAGGGAATTCGTTGGGCCGTGACTCAGTGCCATGAGAGCAAAACAAACTCAGAGGCCAGGTTTGACCACAAGTGCGTCAGTCCATTTGCAGCGATAGTTGTGAAAGCCTTGGAGCCTTGAAGACCCAGCAGAACGCACAGAGCAAGCCGAGGTAACTCGAGGCCTAAAACAAAAGACCCATATTCCTCCATGCACGCCGCATATTTAAAAAAAGCTCTTTCTTTAAAATGAGATGCTCAGTTATTTGTCAAGTTTAAAATCACCTGTTGTGAAACTGTATTTACGATTTACGAGCATGAGAGTTCATCCTTGATCTTGAAGACAGAAGTTGGACAAAGAATTTTTGACTAAAGTTCCACTTACTAGCTTTTTCCTGAGCTTTCAGCAAATATGATTTCAGTGGTTATTGACCGTAAGGACGGAAGGCTGTTGGATCTCGATCAGACTGAAAACCCATTAAACAAATCTGTGATTTTGGACTTTAAAAACAAAAATGACCCGAAGTGAGTTTTCTATTATTGATTTATGGGTTGATTATTTTTTCAGTTGATGATTTAGTCTTCAAATTTCAACCCCGAGTCCAAACCCTAAAAAGATTTACAAGAAAAAGGAGAAAAGTACTGGCTTCCCGTTGAATCAACAATTTGTTTGAACCATTTAAACTGATATTGATCTTCTCATCTGGCTCTCAGTACTGACAGCAAACCACACGAGTATTCCCCAAAATGTCAGACTGCTCCTTTAAGTTGGGGAACTGATTCAGTCAACATGCTGTAATGATTTCTCCGCTGATGCCACGGTCATTTTAACGACAGGGATATCTTGTTTTGGAATGAAACTCTTTAGTGGATTAGACGGGTGTCATTAGAGAAGACTTCAGAAGGTGTGTTGGCAACACACACACACACACACACACACACACACACACACACAGGCCTGAGCAGATGTACACACACAGCTGAGCCAAGCCAACAAGCAGTAGGAGTATATTTTTGTTTACTTGAAAGACAAAGAATACTTTGTCTTTGTTTGTATGAGTGTGTGAGTCAGAGAGGGGGAATTCATCCGAGTGTGTATAGTAGAGATGTCCCAAGTCAATCCTCAGGACCAGTATTAGCTCAGGCGCTAATAATCGTTAGCAAAGAAGTGTAGAAAACTAGCTAGCAGCTTCTCATTTTCAGCTGGTGCTGTGCATTGCTTTACAGTACGGTATGTCATATCAGCTGCCACGAATTAATGTTAATTCTGTGAGTAACGTCATGACAGTTCAACTTGGCTGTTGTTGGTTTGTGTGCTCGCTGCACGCCGCTGACAGCACTTGTCAAGGATAGTTTGTGAGGGAAGAACCTCCTCTTCGTGAGACCACTGTACGACGGGTGAACTGAGCGTTTCTTTAGTTCCAACAAATCCAACAGAGTGATGTCATTCCTGCATTGTTTGAGATTGAGATTGAGATTGAGATTAAGCTGTTGTTATTTCAGTGTGTTATATACAAAGGCTATTTAATCAAAATTTAAGTAAAATAAACTCTATCAGCAGATATCCAATATCGAAAGACTCAAACCCTGGCCACAAAATCTCGATCGGGACATCCCTTGCATGTGGTAAATGTACACGGTAAGAGTGTGTTAATAAATGTGTGTGTTTGTGTGAATTTCCATGGGTATTTGCATACAAAGGTAAGGCCTTGCTTTAATATGTGTGAGTGTGTGTGTGTGTGTGTGTCTGTTTCCAATTAACTCCGATGAGTTCTGTGTCTTACCTCCGGTCTCAACTGAGCTCAACATGAGAGTAGTTGCTTAACACACACACACACATGCACACCCGCAATGTATTCCCATGAACCCAGTGCTCTGTCTCCTGCTGTCCAGCAACACACACACACACACACACACACACACGCACACACACACACACACACACATGCACACGCGCGCAAATCATACACACAGTCTCCTGCTGCCTGCTTGTTTGGCTTGGATGACCATGGGGAGAAGCGAGAGAGGAAGCGAGGAAGAGAGAGGTGCAGACACTCCTTAAAGAAACACTCGTTTTTATATAATATCTCTAGAACATTTTTATATCATCCGTAATACTTTGGAGGCTACAGACAGCTGTAGAGTGAGAGGAGAAGATAAAGGAAGCGATGCTGTGAGGCAAGCATGTGAAACGGACAAAATGACGCATGATAAATGAGAGATTTTAGTGCACGGTCCAATGACGCGGAACATCTACATCACCTGGACAAGGTCAAGAGACAGAAAATACCCACTGACTGGCTCCAGTGTCTCTGGCAGAGACGCACAGGGAGATAAATAATGAAAGGTCCTCGCTTATTTACCATGGTCCTTAACATGGACCCTCCGCCCATCACTCACTGTCCGTATGAGCTGGTTTCTATGAGAAACACTGGCCTTCACCCAGAGAAAGCTGAATGTGTGTGCACGAATCAATGTCTTTACCTGTTGCCGTTTTAAAAACAGCAGAAAAATAAAGTTTTATAAACGCTATCAGTACAGATTCTATTCATTAATTGATTATATGTTTATAAGTGCATCATTTTGTATTGTTTTTACGGCCTCATCAAAGTGACATTTTATACGTGACGCTTTATAGTACACAGTATAATCATGGTGGCAGCAACAGTAAACAGGAGTTCTAGTAGTAGTATTAGTACCAGTGGTAACTATAATACTAACAGTAATATTAATAATAGTGGGAATGAAAGTTGCATTCATAGTAGTGATAGTATACAAAATAATAATAGTAATAGTAGTAATAACAGTGGTAGTATTTGTAGTATTATTCATAATATATGTACATCCATTCTTGTCAGGTACGTGCATATTTTTATATCTGTGTGTGTTTATATAAAAATGTACAATTGTGAGAAAGTCTGAGTGTGTGTTCCAGTGCATGCGTCAATCTGTGGACAGTAATGTATGTGTGTGTGTGCGTGTGTGTGTGCGTGTGCGCACGTATGTTTGTTTTTACAGCGATCAGCAGGATCTCCAGCTATGAAGGACGCCGAGCGGCACAGCGGAGGGGAAAACGTCTCGGAAAACAAATGGACTGTGTCTGCTATCAAGCTGCTATCTAATAAATGTTTTCAACAAGGAAAAGAAAAACGGCCCGATGCCCAAAGTCGCAGTCACATAACGCACGTACACCTCTCTCTCTCTCTCTCTCTCTCTCTCTCTCTCTGCTGTTGGACTCTCTCTCACCCTCCCTACCTTTTCATCTTTCCATCTTTTTCTAGCCTCATCTGTCAGTTTTCCTTTTAAGGCAGGGAACCCCACAAATAGTATTTGTATGTTTTTGAAATGTTGGGAAAGCTAAAACCTATTATTACTGTTTCAACTTTGTCCACTGGTGTTAACGTTTGGATGTGTGCTACGTTACATTGTGAGAATAGTTTTCTTGCTTATTTAGGCTCTGAATATCCTGTAAAAATGTCTGAATGATAAATTAACTGAAAAGTAGCTGCTTTTT